AACGGATGTTTAGATGACGAGAGATTTCCTCTTTCTCGTTATAAACTTCTCGACATTGTTCCAAGATAATCTTGAATTTAATAACGTAGGGTGAAAGATGAAGAAGGCTACGGGATAATTTCGAAAGATAAGGAATTGCTAATTCAATAACTTGGTTCCTCAATCTTTTATTCTATGAAAGTTTGAAAGACTTTCTCTTCGATGGTATTTTTAAAACTGCAGTAAAGTACTTTTGTACTTGCGTATTAAAACACTTTTTTTTTTCATCATTGTACGTACTCAAAACTTATAATTAATTCATTAAGAATCATGCAATGATTCATCAGAATGTTCTGAACCTTCTGAAATTTCATGAAATTGTAGAATAAATCGATCGAAAAGAAACCTAACTTAGATAGTTCTTAATAATTTCAATGTTATTTCTATCAACAAAGATTCTCTTGTCAACCAGTATATTATAATAACGAACACATTACTGTTGTTTTTAAAATTTAAATACATAACTCGAACCTATAAAGTCTATCTATAAAGATAAGTAATCAGATCTTTCTGTCAGTCTACATTATAACAATCAATGCATTCGAATGTATTATTCGAGACTCGAATAACACATCATTACCACTTTCAGAAACATTTAAAATTTCACACTCGCGTGAATTCGTAACCCATCCTTTTAGAGGCGGAAGAAGTTGAACCCCTCGAGAGTTGACGGTGTGTTTCTGCGTGTTCACGACCGAAAAATAATTGTACCTCGTCGCGCGGTGGTGAGCGGGAATTTTCGAGATTCGACCTGAGAGTGCACTTAGGCAAATTCGTCGAAAACGCGACGGTGGCGACCGCCTTAATGAGCGTTGCTTTAATATGCGAGCAGATATTACGATCGCCCGCGCGTCGTCGCGATGCGTCGCGACGCGCCGCTGGAATTTACCGCTTTAATTTTAAGATCGCGTCCAGGCAAACCGTCTAACCAGCTTGGAAATTGTCAATAAACGCGGCAAATATTTCATCCGCCGCAGGGAACAACTCCTCTGATAAAGTCCCCACCGTTATGAACCTCCGTGTTCATTATGGCCTCGTTCTATGGTTTTTTTTTTTTTTTTTTTTTTTTTTATGAAACTTACTTGGCAAACGGACTTTGACCGATATTGAGGCTTCCTCTCACGGAGGAAGTTCAAACTGGTGGATTTGCTGTTAATTGTTTTCGGTTGGGAATTCTTCTAGACAGGGAATTCTGCGTTCAAATGGGAACACTTTTTGCAACACTCTGTCCAATGATTTGGCAGAAAGTGTCGAGGAACCGAAGAAGGGAAGTCGCGAGTACTCTGTTATTATATTACAGTGTACTTTTTATATGTCGTTGATATAACTGTGTTTAGAAATGTGCAATTAATAGAAGTTAGGAAATCATCTGTAATTTATACGTTCATGTATAAAATAATAGAACGCAAGGTTGGATTTCTCAGAAAGATTTACGAAAAGAAAGATATCGTTTCCTTAGTAATACGTAACAAAATACGTAACAAATTATTATTTAAGTTATTTTCCTGAAATTATAAGCTCTTGCTCGATATTGATATATTTGTAAACGTAGAAATGAATCTCCAGTTTTATATACTCGATAGAAAAAAAATGTTGAACTTTTTTGTTTTAAAAGTGTGCATCTTTTGAGTTTTATACAGTATTTGTTACTTTATAGAAATTGGAAAAAAAAATCACCTCTGAAAGAATTAATAATGTAACTTTGCATTATATTTACGTATACACATTCAAATATATTCACGTATTAGTTGGAAATAAATTTTCATTACTTAATCTTGGCAAATTCTTTTGAAGAAGAAATTTTCTACAAATTACACATGCCTATTGAATGTTAAACTTTAAAGTTATTATGAACAATTAGAATCTTCGTTTAACCTTTCTTGTACGAGTGAAAATCTGGAAAAGTGCCATGAAGGTAGCCGGAAACATATTTAAATTTAGCACTTGAGGAAGGTCAAAGACATTTTCTATTTTTTGCTGTATAAATCATTTGAAACAAAAAAAAAAAAAAAACACTCTCAAACAATTATAAAAATTTATAGTTTCTTCCAAAACTTGAAATTAAATTTTGAAGTTGATAATCTTCGTAAGTATACTTAATCATTAAGAAAGTGTATTAAATCATATGAAAGATATTTCTATCGAATATACGAAGTTATTCTATAATACATAAATGTTAGTTGTCATAATTATATTACTTCATAATGGAAGTTTTTAAATTATAATATTTACTACTATATTACGATTTCTAAGGGAAGTAAAAAACAGCTTTTGAACACAATTAGATATTATATTGTTAATGAAAAAAAAATGACGCGATTTAAAATAATACACTTCTCATCGTAAGTCTCATAACGTTCATAATAAAAGGCATTTATAGAATAGGTATATCACACTGTCACATGAATCACGAAGAGCGACATAATTACTCCCCACTAGTCAAATCGTGAAGATAAATGAATAAGATATTCATAATAGACCGAGGACTATTTCTGTAATACTCTCATAATTATAATTCAAAAGTCGCATGCTTCGGGTCCTGTAATTTTTATCGCTTAATGTGCGATATAACAAGAAAATTACTCGTGGTTAGAGTTTTCATTTGAAACATACTACACGTATCACCTTGATATTTAAAAGAAAAGAAAACAAAAAAGAAATTATGAAAGAGAAAATTCATCCAACAATTCTCATCTCAGCTAGTTAAAGTTCTATCTTAAAAAACTGGCGTATCGCAAGTATCACCTCGATATCTTTAAAAAATAAATTACATCGTGCAACTACTTCAAAAAAGGGAAGAAAAAGAAATTCACCCAACAACCGTGCAAGACAACAGAAAAGAAGCGAATTTGTATCCGTTTTACCTTAATATTTTCCAAAAAAAGAAAAAGTAAATTACGGCGTCATGAAACCGTCCGCTTGAAAAAAACGGAAACAGAGGAAAGGCAGAAACACGCGATTCGTCCAATTCTCATCAACATTTGTAGAGGATAATGAGAGAAGCGAATTTGCCATTGTATCCGTATTTCTTTAAAACCCGGCCGGTGTACAAAGTGTTCAACAAGAGCTCCGAGCAGAGAAACGTCGCGAGCGGGACGCGCTTGAAAGCCCGGGCGTAGCAGGAAGAGAGGAAGAAAAAGTCGAAACGCGTAGACAGCGTTTGAATTAATGAAGACAGAGGCAGCGGGGAGGCAGCGGGTAGAAGAGGAGAGGCTCTTGCTTCTGAAAACGGCCACGAGACCCCCGGGGGCGATTGCCTTTATTCGCAAAGTGAATGAACGCAGAAGGGAATTGGCTGACTCTAAGGTCAGGGCCTTAGACAGTTTCGGGACCGTTTCGAAATAAAATCTAGCTGCGTAGAAACGTAAGAAAAAAAAAAAAAAAAAAAAGAAAAGAAGGAAAGAACAGCCACGAGGCGAATTCCTACCGGTCTTGAATCGCGATACTCACGCGATAATAAGAAACCTCGACTAAAATTAACCGACCGCTAATTTCGGCCGCCTCTCTCGTCCACTTGCAGACGCCAGTTAGAGACACTGTAGTGAAAACCACTAAATTTTGAAAGAATTGTCTTTAATACCCTCGTTTCTAGATCATATGTATAATATCTAGGGAACTATGCTATATGGGATTAAAATGAATGTGTGTTGGTATATCGATTTGTTGAAGAAAGAGAGAGAAGGGGAAGTTGATGATTAGCAAAACACGACATATGCAAGAACACAAGATGTTAGTATCGTGCCTTGGTATTGGAAATATTCGAGGAATACTTGTTGAGAATACTGCAAGTGCCAAATATCAAATTTTTCCAAGATGAATATATTTATATATTTTTGTAATAAATTCTATTATATTTGAAAATAAAAGCAACCTATTGATTTCCTGTGACAAGTAATTTAGGAACAAGATTGTTTGCGAATTTAAAAACAAAGTCTGGCATCCTCAATAAGTACAATTTTCTTTTTTATGAATTTCGTGTACATTAATAATTCAGAATATATATGAATAGATTTCCTATGTCAAGTAATTTAGGAACAAGATTGTTTGCGAATTTAAGAACAAAGTCTGGCATCCTCAATAAGTACAATTTTCTTTTTTATGAATTTCGTGTACATTAATAATTCAGAAAATAGAAAACTTCGATATATATTCAAGTTATTGTGCTCTCAGTCGTACAACAATCAAATCGAATCAAAATTCTGTAAATAATTCAAAGTCACATCTCTGTGAGGATTTGAAACAAAACTGAATGGAACATCCAAATCCATCATCTGATAGAAAAAAGTTTAAGGATGAAACGATGCTTGGAACGTTTTAGAATAAATTGAAATACATTTCGTAGAATTTTCATAGAATTCAAAAAGTACACGAGGTAAAAAAAAAAAAAAAAATCGAGTATTGGATATTCACAATACTTTCTTTGTACTTCTCAACTTGTTCTAATCGTACATAATAGCTTGATAAAGTGAATTTAATTTTATTATTAAACTTGAATTTTATCTAATTGTAAATGTGAAGTGAACGTACATTTGTACACATATAACATATATACTCGCGAAACGTTTCTACAAAAATTCAAACACTTTGTTCGAACATTTCGAACGACAGGATCGACATGAGCTAACTCGACGTGACACGCGATGTTTCGCGAAGGAGCGTTCCTTTTTTTTTTTTTTTTTATATAATAACGATAATCGCGATTCTATCGATTGCAGAGCCGGGCCGCTTTTCCTTGCAAAAATATTACGTGACGCCACGTGTTTCTGCTTTTCTGCTCACTATCAAGCAGCAACTGTATATTTCTCTTCTCAGTTACTGGCCAGCAGCCGTGAACGAATCTTCCCTACGCGTGTAAACACCCGCTTCAAACGGCCTCTCGATCAAGGGTTTCCTCTCGCGCGACTGTCAAAGGGATCTTAGACACCGGTTCCCAGAACCATTCGAAACCATTGTGCTATCAGATGCCTCCCTTTGTGTACTGGGTTTTGGAAAAACAAGAAACGAGGGTTTGGAGCTGGCTCGTGGGTGGATAGTAAAGAATTGTAGAGTTTCGTGTTGTTTCTGCAGAAATATTAAATATTACGTGGATTATCAACAGAGTATTTTGGACTTTTCCTTGCCGAAGGATGTACGTTTCACTAAAAGACATTCAGATATATTATAATATCTGAATAATATTGCAAGAATTCCATTATTCCAGTTTAGAATTTTTCTCAGTCATTGAAATTATTTAACAAACACATTTCTATCGATTTAATTATATTATACTTTATATACAACATTTTTATAATATAACAACAAATAAAGTAAGTCAGTTTTCGTGAGCTTTCGTGACGAAAGGAAATTAACATCGAGTGGCATATGAGGAAACGCTGAATAGTAAAATTTATTATATCGAGATTCACTTTGCACCTAGTGTAATACGGTTTACTGAATAGTTCAGATTGAACGCCGAGGAAGACGAAGAGTAGTTGGCGTGTTTCATTCGTTTCATAATGATCGATGCAACTCGTGATTCAATATCAAGCTTCATTTCCCATTTACATACCACTTATTAATGCTTACATACCGAAAGAGCTACACTTGAGCACCGATATTTCTAAAAATACACATCAAAGAACCAATCCCTTCCAAAGAGCTTCATCTAAGTGCTTACTTACACACATAGACACACACACATGCGAAGGACTCGAATGAGAAGTCGTAATGTACGGTAACCATCGATTTCGAACGGAGGAAAAAGGAAACTCGCTAAAGTGGAGCAGGAAATCTATAATCTTCTCCCCTTTCTCTTATCGTGCATCGTGTTTCCCCGGGAATATTTCGCGACACGCGAACAAGGTCTCTTTTCCACTTAAAAAAGAAGAAGAAGAAAAAAAAGCCCAGAAAAGAGAAAAGAAAATAAAAAAATTTTCCACAGAGCGGAATTATACTGTTGGATGCAAGGACCTCAGGATGCCCTTTCCGAATCAAATATTTTTCCCACACGCGCATCCTAAACTTTGCTGTACTTTCAAAATTTCAATACATTTTGCAAGATATTCTCAAAATTTCAAATCCCATTCATCAAATTTTGTTTAGTTAAGTAAGGTTTCCAAAATTTTTCAAGTTAAGTAAATTAATCAAAGATTGGAAGATGATCGATTTATTGTAGTAAACTAGAAGAACGAAATCTTTAGCTAGTATTAAATATCAAAGGAACATGATTCATATATATTTGAGATTTTTATCTTATAATTGTGTTTTAACGCAAATCTAAAGAAAAAATAATTTTTCGTTATAAGATTATACAGACACAATTGCAATAACTTTGTTACAGCTAGTTTCCAAATGTTCAGAGATGTTTTTCGTTTAGAGATTGAATTTCGTTACTTTGGTGCTTATTTTGCATCCAACAGTACGATCCTTTCGTCACGCGGAACAATCATTCGGTGATGGTGATCCTGCGGGATCCGTTGCAAACCGAAAACAACCCCTTGGCCAGATGGATCGAATTACAGGGCCATATCCTGGCACCGGTTCAATTTTCCAGCTAAATATACCGGTGATGTACATTTGGCGAATTGCTTGTTTCAGACGTGTATAGCATTCACGATGAAGTGCTATAAAAACACTGTGGAATTTCGATTGATCACAGCCGTGGAACGGGAATAATTAGAAACCGAGCGGTTCACAGAAAAAATAAATTGACAAACAACCTGTGCGTGGAACCTAGCATCGACGTTTTCGAAGAATGTTTAATCTCGCACAAGTAAGAAAAATGTTTTAACCCTTTCGATCCTACTTTTTGATTTTTGATTATATGTAATTTATAATTTTTTGTGCTCAGGAAAATATTCGAGCATTTGTTACAGACGAACTGTAAAACATTTTAAAATTTAACACTCTAACGAGAGATGACTATTGTAATAACGTCAGTAACATTGAAAATCATCTCAAATTGAAAGTCATCTTAAACGTGTTATAAACGTCAATTGTGTTTGAAACAATCGTGACGTTTACGAAATATTGTAAATATGAAATACCTTGTAATACCAAAGGTTTCAAAATGTTCTCCATAACATTTATACGTAATACAATATTTGTGAGAAACAATGGTTTATTATAACGTTATAAATAGTTCAATTTCTCGAAATTCTTAAAATTGTAAAATCCAAGTGATAGAAATAGCGATGAAAAAAATATTATGTAAATTCTGGGAATTTTCGTTCATAAAAGAATAGAAGTCGATAATGCAAATGAATTGAACGAAATGGTAAATGAAATGTTGAGCTAAAGTAAGTGACATAATATAGCAAACATACTCTGAAGAACAGATGAACCGTGTTTGGTCTTTCTCTTATTACGACCTATACTATCTATTTAATTCAGGTGGAAACGACGAATAGGTCGTTATGTAAAAGCATTACATAAAGATATTAATCTCATCGAAATAATGATACCGATCGATAAAAATTCGTTACCTCTCATAAATTATGTATAATATCTATCTTGGGTTATTCTGTAATAGCGATCGCGTAAATCACTTATGTGAGGGCAGTTTAAATTTGATGAATAAATTGTGGATATTTAAATAATTAAAAAAAGATGAATATTTAAATTTTTATAATTATTAATAATGACATAATTAAAATAATAAACGAAATTAATCTCAATGAGAATGATATATAGTTTAATATTACAAATAATTGTTTACAAACGATTGAAATACGAAATTTGTTGTATTCATAATATAAAATTGTTGAAAAATTTATATACTGTTAAAAGATATAGAATATAAAGAACAATCGTCACGAGGATAAATTTTCAAATTTATTTTTTTCGAAATTACCCCCTTCCCTTAATTATTTCATTATAACCTAGGATTGTATATTTTGTTCTATATTTTATCCATAAATTTGATTCCAACAAACTAATATCGTTCTCATATTACACCGAATCGATAATGTCGCATTTGACACAAAATGGTAAGTGAATCTTCTGATTTCTTCAAATTAAGAGACAAAATCATTGTATATCAAATCTATCCTATCTTTCATCGAAATTATAATCTCTGCATGTCCAATTCTTTGCCTAATTAAATATCTTTAAATATGAAATATAAAGTCACATAAATTATATCTGTATTTATTGGCTACACTTGATGTTCATTTTATCTATTTGAACTGAGACTTATGCCTGATTAATATAGAAATTATATAATAAAAACTTTCCAATCATATGACTTTGAATTTATATCACATTGAATGAAGGCAAATTTATTTCATAAGTCAACTATTAAAAATTTGTGCAAAATGAACAAATCAAGTACACTTGATAGAAACTGCTTTATCAATTAAGGACAAGTAGCAGCGCTCCTCGTAAAGAACTAGCTTAGGACTTGTTTTTCACGCACACAGATGATGGCGACACATGTCTCGCTATCTTGCGCCACCTGGTGCCACAACTTATCATTTCCATTCTCAGTTAGAATTCAAATATTGCAAGAATCGAAATTAAAATTATAGTCATTTAGGAAATGTTCACTACGAGACAATGTTACAATGATCACTGACGAACATCCAATTGTCATCGTGTCATCAAATATTCATAACCAACTATTGATGTAACTTGTGGTCAACAATTCTTTCACGAATGAAAATGTACCACTTCGATGTAATATCAGTTGTCAACGAATTAACAGAAATATCATTCGTATATTTAATTATGTATTATTTGCACATTTGAGTCTGTTTATTTTGTTATAAAGTGATAGCTAAACGGGTAAATAAAATGTATCGTACGAAGTATGAAACAATATGCTGATATATGAGAAATTTTCATATCACATCATAGAATTTCATTGTGTTAGGCTACCATATTCGTTGTGGTTAAGAAAAAATTAAGATTTTTGCTTTAACATACCCAAATTTCGTTGTTAAGCTGTTCCCACTCGTGGTTCAGTGATATTCTGATCCTCATATTACGCAGTCGAATGTTTCTAACTATTTCTTCCGCGGATTTATCGAAAGAAGACGAAATATATCCCCTTGGTGCACGCATGGCGACCAACAATGTTGCAAAACTGTTCGAAAATTATTTGCGCGCGTTTCTCAATTCGTTCGATATCGCCATCTTGTGTTCAATTTCTGTGTTAGACCATCGTGGGTCGATAAAACAGAGTTCGCGTAAATTCAAATGCTTCTCTACTAACACAGATCAGATCTGTGATCTGTGCATCGATCAAACTTTAGAAGTTTCAAACAATATTTCTAATTGTTTAAACATTGTTTAACAAACATTCTAAACATTATTAAGCATTCCAAGCATTCTAAACATTATTAACAAACAAATATTCTAATTTTTTAAACTCAATATTTCAAATAATTTATTTGTAACAATTAAACAATAAATTTTCTTCTATAATAATTTCCATGTATTATTTGAAATTTTCAATTAATTATTTGTAGCGATCGAGTCACTAATATAATTTCTATGAAATTGTAATCAATTGTTTCGCGTCGACAGATTAACGATCGAAAGGTCAGGTTAATTTCGATCAATACGGAAACGAGAGCTTAGTATTAATCGAACTTTCGTCGAGTACGCATCGATCAAATTTTAAAAGTGAATTTTTAAATAACATTTCTGAATATTCTAATTGTTTAAACAGTACTTAATATTTAAAAAGCGTCAAAAGTGTTGAAAGTTAGTTAAACAATATTAAACAAGCGAAATAAAAGTGTTAGAAGTGACTTAAATGTGAAATTGTGGATTGTGTTTAAACGTGTACATTGCTGAAGAGAGTTTGAGAAGCAGAAGCATCAACAAATGTTTAAGCATCAACAAATTCAGATACGATACAGTGCATTGCAACCAAATTTAATTTTGCAATTTTGAAATTTAAAATTTTTAATAAATTATTAATAAGTTCTTAATAAATTATTCGTATAAAAATATTATTTTTTTATAAATTCTTAATAAATTTTGCAGATACAAACTTTAACGTAAAAGTACTTTAAATCATTTATTAATGCCAATATTAAAATTTTGCAATTTATCTCAGGAACACAAATTTTATTCTATATTTAATCTATTATTGGTATCTATGGTATTAAAAAGAGTGAAAAATTTCTAAAAATCTGTGTA